TTCCACTTGGGGGGGGACGGGGATGGCAGAGAGAGAAAAGATTCCCGCCTTGTGCCAAAGCCATATAAGGGAGTGGAACAGAACAAAGGGGGCAGCAATCATGAGAAATCCCCTAGCTACTACCTGAGCTGGAACAAGGGCTGTACCAGGGGAAAGGATTGTGCCCAGACTGGGAAGGCATCCAGTCTGTGATGGAAGCTTATTGAAACATCTGAGGGTGAGGTTTTATCTGCATTTAGTTTTAGGCATAGACTTGCGAGTTTTATTTTATTTTTCTTGGTAATTCACTTTTTTCTGTCTGTTACTACTTGGAACCACTTAAATCCTACTTTCTGTATTTAATAAAATCACTTTTTACTTCTTATTTAACCCAGAGTATGCATTAATACCTGGGGGGGAGGGAGGGAACAGCTGTGCATTTCTATCAGTGTTATAGAGGGCGAAGAATTTTTGAGTTTACCCCGTATAGGCTTTATACAGGGTAAAACGGATTTATTTGGAGTTTGGACCCCATTGGGAGTTGGGCATCTAAGTATTAAAGACAGGAACACTTTTTAAGCTGCTTTCAGTTAAGCTTGCAGTTTGTGGGACATGGTTCAGACCTGGGTTTCTGTTTGTGGCCGCCAAGCGTGTCTGGCACAACCAGGCAGGGCTCTGCAGTCCCAAGCTGGCAGGGAAAACAGGGGCAGAAGTAGTCTTGGCTCATCGGTTGGCAGTCCCACATATTATCTGATTAAAAGACAAACTGCTGTTTATTAGGTCACAATGCAGAAACTGAGAGAATCAGTACAATTCGATTTTAGCAACTGAATGGGTAGCACTATCAGGTATTGTACAAGTTTACAGTATTATGTCTCAGATTCCATTTGATCACTAAGGAAACTGGGGTTCTACATCCCAGTGAAGTTGTCCAACATGCTTCTCATGATTCATTCCGACACAATTTCCAAATCATAAAGCTAGTGCCAAAGGGAGCTCAGGCCATACAAATTGGAATGTCATAATTATAGAGAGGACATCCGAATATTTGTCTTCTATATCAGATTCAAGTATAGCAGTAACTTAGTTCACTAATCAAAAGAGTAACTTCACTGACTGGACATGAATTGCTAGAAATAGATCCTGCCTTAATCCAAATGACTACAGATTGGCAAAGTGCATTATACGACTTTTCTACATGGTGTGATAATGACTCTACAGGGGTGTGATTTCTAAGGCTATGTCTAATTCTTACGGTCCTTAAAGCGGCACTCTAAATTATACCGGAGTGGCACTTCCGCTAAGTTAAGGTTAAGATGGCTTTCTGTTTAAAGCTCAACTGTTCTAAGAGCTCTAAAATTAATATGGTTTCTCAGACTACCTTGAAATTTTGTGCGCCTCGTGAGGGATCAGGTTTGGTCAGTGATCCAAATTTCGGGCCATTTGACGAAAGGATTCCTGAAATACACCCCCCACTCCAAAAAAACAACCTCCCTAAAACAGTTTAAGTTAATAGTCACATTCTGGCAACAATTTTTTGATCACAAATAGAGATCAAAGCAGGGCTTAGATCCTCACACCTGGAACTCAAACACTTGAGAGTTACCAAGATGGACTGCATGCAATCCAACAGACCACTGGGGGAAATCAAATGACTAATTATTAACCAAAGATTTTATCTGTTTGGAGCAGTAGCTTTTGAAGTGCTGGGTGGTATGCCAACTGGATTGCACTGAGCATGTGCAGACAGAGAAGTTAAAAGGATTGTTAGCCTTCAATGTTCCACACCAGCTGGATGGGCTCAACAGGCTAAGCAGTACCTTTTAACCTTATACACCCAACCAGTGTCAGTTCGAGTTCTACTCTGGGCAAAAATCTGGAAAAGGTCAGAAGGCAGATTGCTAAAATCTGGTGGGGTTTTTCATTTTGTTTTTTTAAATTTTGGCAGAATGCAATCGAAGTATTTTTGTAAAAAATATTAGACATGTAAATGTTTGCTGGCAGGACATTTTAGAGGGTGAAGGAAGGAAAACAGGCAGAGGGGTTCGAGGATGCAGAGGGGGACTGAAGGAAAGAACTAAATGGGGATGGATGATCGGGGAGGTAAGGCATATGTGGAAGAGGGACTGATGGAGAATAGGGCAGGTCACTTGTCTGCCCTACATTCTCCCCAAGTGTGTATGTCCGAGGATCTAAAGTGTCCGAGCCTCTCCCCCTACCTGTGTGCATGCACCAGGACCTCGGGAGGGGAAAAAGGGGGGTCGTCTAACCCCCTCTTCTCTAACCCCCTGGCCTTTCTGGGCAGGTCTAAGCCCCCCTCATGTGAGCTGGGATCCTGGATTTCTTGTATTGCTACGGGGGTCTGAACCCCTCTCTGCACCCCACCCCTGTGAGACAAGATGTGGGAAACCCCTGCCTCTCTGGGTGGGGAACTTAGAACAAACATGCTCAGAGCAAGAATCAAGAGCACACTGTTGACACTGGGATGAGTTGAGAAAAGACATGCTTGATGCATATACACTAACAACACTGGGTTGTGGGGGAAACCCCATTAAAAGGAATGGAGCAGTGCACACATCACAAGCTATTGTTTCAGGCTGTATTCATCCCCTTTCATGGGCATAGGGTGAAACCCCTGGCTTAGGGAGACTAGCCCTCCAGCCCCGCCCCTTCCAGACAGCATGGTCCCGCCCTCCCCGGGTCCAACCCCCAGAGGGGAGCGACACCAATCTTTTCTCACAAGCTTGACATTACTGTAACCAACCACTATGTTATACAACTGTCAAGATTTTGGGACACAGACCATGGATTAGATTTCTCTCACTGACCCTGTTAGCAACTGCACATTGGAAAAATTTCAAAGCATGACTTTTAACCCCATTTCTCAATAACAAAATATATAGGAGGGGTGAGGAGCACTTAGTAATCACATAGCAACTGTGCAGCCTAGCGGAAAGGCCACTTGACTGGGACTATTACTAGCTCTGCCACTAGCTTCCTGGGTGACCTCTGGTAAGTCACCACACCTCTGTGCCTTGGTTTCCCACCTGTAAAATGGGGATAATGATGTGAAGTTCTTTGAGATCTACTGATGAAAAGCACTACATAAAACTTAGGTATTTTGATTACCACCTAGCTACAGCAGCATATTAACTGCAAACTCTGGTGAGAACTATAATTGCCTAAATGGTCACTAATTCCTACTAACAAACATTTATTTAATTTTCTAGTTTTTTAAACTGAAATGGCAAAAAAAGTCTGGTAACACAGAGTTAAGGTTGCCTGGTGAGCTTATACCCTTCCAGAATGTTGAGTTCAGCAAACCTCAAACTTCTGAAAACTAGAAAATACAGAGTTAACATAAATGCTCATGCAACTTTAGCTAGGTTCCCTGTGAGTGATGTTCCAAAACACCTATTACACATTCTCGCACTCTGCCTTTTCACTGCATTACCTGCACCTCCCCATCACTCAAACACTGTGCCTACTTCCTTAATAGAATACCACACTTATAAAATTTAACAGCCACTTCATATCCTTTTACAGCTCCTTCTCACTTCCACATAGGATACTACCTAAACCTATACTTTTCCCTACCCATCATTAAATCCGCAGACTGCTTTCATGTCCCATTTCACTACTGACAGTACCCCTGAGAAGATGACTGTAGTGCCCTGCTATGACACAGCCTACACAATTTTGTACTGAAATGATGCAAACTAGAACCCCAAGATATGAATGCACCTCTTTCCTTTGATCACACTCGTGCGGGGATTCAGACCCAGATCTCTTCATATCACAATCACAGCGCTTTGACACACTTCAAACTAATTCCCTGATGATCTCATATCAAAACAGATTTCTAACAACCTGCTGCACCTATTGCCTCCACCACTCAGTACAGCTACACCTAAAACAGAAAGCAACTGGAGAGCATGCAGGTAATTCCTGTTTGCTACTTCCAGCTCCAGGGGCAGAGTTAAGGCTACGTGAACATTTACCTTAACTCTGTATTTCCTGTTTTTCCCCTGAGTTTTGCTGAACTCAATGTTCTGGAAGGCCATAAGTTATCACCATGCAACCTTAACTCTTAAATTTTTTTGCCATTTAATAACAACTCTGAAGATGTGCAAGGCAATACATCATGGGATAAAAGATGCATGATCAAAGTGACTGACATACCAAAGATCAAGGAATTTAAATAACTACCTTTCCTGAAATGTTGCCATAACTGCTGATAGAACTTGTGTGCCCGTTTTGGGTATGTCTACACAGCAACTAGACACTCACAGCTTGCCTGTTCCAGCTGACTAGGGCTTGAAGGGCTTCAGCTGTGCAGCTTTCACTGCTTGTGGACGTCTGGGCTCAGACAGGAGCTGAACTCTAGTACCCTGTGAGGTTTGAGGATCACACAGCTCAGGCTCCAGCCTGAGCCTGAAAGTCTACGGAGCAGTCAAACACCCCCACAGCCCCAGTCAGCGGGCACAAGCCAGATGCTGGTTTTTCTTTGCTGTGTAGACATACCCTTAGTGGATCACTGCAGTAAGTTTCTGGACAGGTACATTGATTTACCAACTCTGACCCAGAGACATTAATAGTCTTCATCTCCACTGAGAGCCTGGGTAACCCCTTATACCACTTTTTTCATGGCTAAGTAGAGGCGTACAACCCCACCTGGGATTCACCAGGCAGTTTTAAAGTCTGCCCCTGACAGCAGAGAGTTTCCTACGTGTCACTGACTCTAAGGAAGTAAGCCTCTCCCCTCCAGCCTCAGAGGGCGAGACCGCTTTCAAACCGTCGGGGAAGAACGACGCTCACTTTAATCCCTGTTTAGTAAACAAATAGCCTCTCTCAGCTCCCCGCACTTTGTCCCCTGAGCAGCGCTGGATCCCGGGAGGGCTGTTCCCGACAGCGCGCTCCAGGCCCTGGCCCGTGCGGTGGAGAGACCGGGCCCCCGGATGCCCAGCACCTGGCGGCACAGCCCAGAGCCCAGCGACCAGGCCCGCCCCCTACCCGCTCACCAGCCTGTCTCGTCCTCCTCGCAGCTGGCCAAGCGCTCCAGCTCGTCCGGCCTCAGAGGCTCCACTTCGTCCAGGAAGCTGCCCCCTTCCCCGGCTGCTGCGGCCGCCGGCCCGCCTCGCGTCTCCTCGGCGGGCGGCTGGCGGGCCCCGGCCCTGGGGCTAAGGCAGCGGCTCTCCAGTCCCAGCGGCAGGTCCCCCCGCGGGGAAGGGGTGGCGGCGCCGCTGCCGCTGGGGAGGCGCTTGGGGCTGGCGGGGGGCCCGGAGCGGCTGCGGAGCTGCTCGTTCTGCTTCTCCAGCTTCTTCACCAGCTCCTGCAGCTTCCGCACCTCCGCGTCCGCGTTCACGTTGGAGTTAATGTCCTCCATGGCGGCGGCGGCGGCGGCGGGACCCTCCGCCCGGCCGCCGGCTCGCTCGCTCGCGCGCGGGGCTGGCTACCTCACGGGCCGGTCACGTCTCCGGGATGGGGGGGGGAAGCAGCCAGGGCCCGCCTCTACATGGCCGGGCCTGGAGGAGGCGGCGCCGCTGTGACTGCGCCGGGGCTGGGCCCGGCCTAGAGTGGAGCCGCCGCCTCGTCAGCTGCGCCGGCGGCCCAGGGTGGGCGGGAGACACACACATCCGGCCAGCGGCGCCATCTTGCCCTGCGCCCCGCCCCGCCCCGCCCCCAGCCGGGCGTCACGCACGCGCCCGGCACGCGGCCCGGTCCGGGACGGCGGCTCGTGCCGCCGGAAGCGCAGCGGCACAATGGCAGGGGCTGAGCGCACAGCAGGGGCCCGGCCCGTAGCCGCCGCTCCCGCTGCCCCCCGAGCGGGGCTGACAGCCGCCTGCGGAGCCTTGGGCAGCGGAGGCGGCATCCCGAGGCAGCGGCGCCCGGATCAGCCTCGGTTCCTGCCGCTGTCCGAGCCCGCGTCCGCCAGCCAGCCGCTGGGGGCGCTTACGTCACCCTGTTGCCTGGGCCAGCCGCCCCGGGCCAAGGAGTGTCCGCTGCTGCTGCGGCGCCTCGTTAGTGCCCCATCCCGCCCCTGAGCAGCGGCTCTGCTACCCACCCCTGTGACCCGTCTGCCGGGGCTGGCGGCGGCAGTAAGGGTCGAGTTCAAAGAGCAACTGGCCCGTTTTAAAACTAACAAACGCGACGGGCTTCAGCCCCCACCCAAAACTGTTGGGCTCACACAAGTACTTGCCACCTTCCCCCAAGCATTGAGGTTGTGTAGAAAACAAATCTTTATTAAGAGAAAGAGGAAAAAGAAAAGTGGATGGGTGTATCTAAATGAGTAAGTAAAATACATGCATCCGACGAAGTGAGCTGTAGCTTACGAAAGCTTATGCTCAAATAAATGTGTTAGTCTCTAAGGTGCCACAAGTCCTCCTTTTCTTTTTACTAGGTGGAGGTAACTTTGGCAGTAGTCTGTGTAACTCAGTTCCACACCCAAGGGCTGAATGTTCCCTTTACCACACATTGCTTCCCTGTCCCCCATCTGGTAAACCACACCCACCATTGGGTATCAGTGAGTAGCATCATCCCATCATCCAGACATGTACTCTGGCACGATGGTCCCTTTCCAGTGCTTTGGGAAATGCTGCCTCGTCCCATCCCGAAGCTCTACTACCTAAACCATCTTTCATCTTTATTTAGAACAAAACTCTCCTGTTTTGCTGAGAATAAAACCACCTCAACAAGAGGCATAGAGCATTTTGTGGCAAACTTAGATTGACAAAGTATCAATGTAGACACTCAGCTTGGTGATGTTGCCATAAATGGCCCACAGGAGGTGTCTCAATACCCATCATGATTGCTCTGGTCAGCAGTTTGAACTCCGCTGCCCTGTATCCAGGTACACAGGCATCTGCCCCTCCCTCTTTAAGGGACTGGCAATTTTTGAAATTCCACTTTCTGTTTGCTCGGTGTAGACAGCTAACATTGCATCTTCCCAGCTGACCATAGCGGCTCCACGCAGCAAAAGCTCTCTGGCCCGGAGCACACCAGAGTTATTAGATCTGCTGGGTCTGTAGGGAGAGGAGACTGTGCAGTCCCTGCTTCACTCCAGCTGTAGGAACTTTGATACCTATTGTCAGATTTCTTGTGGTGTGATGGATAAGGGCTACAAACAGGATATGCATCAGTGCTGTGTGAAGATCAAGGAGCTAGGCAGGTGTACCAGAAGGCAGAGGAGTCAAACCATTGCTCTGGTACTGTGCCGAAGACCTGCCGTTTCTATAAGGACCTGGACACCATCCTTGGCGGCAACCCTATCACCAAGAGCCCCATGGCTACTTCAGCAGGGCTGGAGATAGCGGCCAGCAGACTCAACCCCAAGGATGAAGAAGTAGGTTGGAGGATGAGATGGGACAGACAACTGGTTCATCTGTTACTGTGATGAGCCAGGGTCTCTTCTCAATAGTAGAGGGTTTGAGCCAGTCCTAGTGCTCTGTCTGTGATGCACATGATGCAGGAAAGGGGACTTCTGGTAAGTGAACATTTTGAGTTGATGCTGCTCTACATGAGGCAGAGCTGTCCTTTGCTTTTTATATGCTAGAATTGGGTTAAGGGAAAGAAATGTACAAAGACTAGCTGAGTCTGCATCTGCTTCCCATACCCCTGTGCAATACACAGTGGGCCAGGACTCTGTGTTAATACAATGAGAATCCTCCAGAGAGATCTCTAGGAAACTTTCCTGGAGGTACTCGCTCATCAGTCTTTAAACCATGATTTGAGGACTTCAGTAGCTCAGACATAGGTGAGAGATTTATCGCAGGAGTGGGTGGGTGAGATTCTGTGGCCTGCATTGTGCAGGAGGTCAGATTAGATGATCATAGTGGTCCCTTCTGATCTTGATATCTATGAATCCTCTGCCGAAGGTTCCTTGTCAAAGCTGGTTTGTTCCTTCCCCCATTGTAGGAAACTTTCGCACACCAATCAGCAATCACTTGTGCAGGGACCAAAGCGGCATACAGGCGAGGAGTGTAAGAGCCTGCTTTGAAGCCGTACGCATGCAGGAGATGCACCCTTTCAACCTTACCCTCAGGAATGAGATATTGGCTTCAATGACCTCACCTATGGAAAATGGTGGCAGAATTTACAATATTGTCCCTAGTTGTTTGCAGTGATCCCCTTAAAAAATTCACTGTAACCCTTTGCGCCATCTTGAAACCCTACCCCTGTGTCAAATTTACCATGTTTAGAGCATTTGCTGAGCTGTATGCATGCCAAAGGACAGTGTGAAAGAGGGGTATTTTACTCTTACGATTAGATGCGGTGAGTGCACTAACAATCATGCTTCTGTTTATTGTTTCTTGTGCTTCTGCAGATGTGGGAACTCCCTACACACCAGCAGAACACCTCCACCAGCTAAGGAAGCTGCTGAGGAGAAGCAAGGAGGACATGTTTTGGGAGGTGCTACAATCTTCTGTCGCCACAGAACAAGAACACGGGTCTTGGAGAGAGGTAGCTAATGAAATTTTTTAAATAGCTAGGCAGGAGAGGAAAGAGAGCCAGGAGTGAATTTTAGTGGTCCAGGAGCAGATGATAAAAGTGATGGAGGAGCAAACAGAGATGCTGCAGACCCTGATCGCACCTTCCAAATGATAGCTGAAGTTACACACACCTGTGAGAGCCTCCGTCAGGAGAGCGCCCTTCAGTATTATCTCCCTTTCAACCAAGCATTTTTTTTGTGTTTGTTGCTATTTAATGAAAAAATACCTGGTGAAAGATCATCAATCTTTATCTCCTACACGTGGTGGTTGCTGCTGGAATTAATACACAGTGGCAATTGGCACATTTGCAGACTACAACTCACGGTCAGAAAGCAGTCATAAAAATTTTCATGCAAGGCAGCAAGTTAACAAAGCATGGCAGAATGCTTTATAAAAAGACACATGACTGGTACTCATTGTCAAAATGGTGCCTCAAACCTTCCTGATTCAATAGCCCCCCATTGTGCCCTTCTAATATCCCTTGTATCAGACTGCTCAAAATTAGCCACCAAGCAATCCACCTCCATGCTGCACCTAGGGAAACTTTTCATCCTTATCCTCACAAATATCATGCAGCGCACAGCAGGCTGCTATGACCCGGGGAATATTTTCCTCATTTAGGTCTAACCTGCCATAAAGACAGCGCCAGTGAGCTTTTAATCTGCCAAACGCACATTCAGTGGTCATTCCGCACCTGCTCAGCCTATTGTTGAAGTGTTCCTTCCTGCTGTCCAGGTTTCCCATGTAAGACTTCATGAGCCATGGGAGTAAGGGGTACACTGGGTCTCTCAGGATCAGTATGGGTATTTCAACATCCCACATTGGAATCTTCTAGTCTGGAGAGAAAGTCCCTATTTGCAGCTTTCTGTGCAGGCCAGTGTTCCTGAAGCTCCATGTGTCTGTGATGGGTTTGGGCCCTTTGGGGTGTCACCTATTGTGCTGGCGTTTAACTGAGTCAGCCTATTCTGCCAGCCTGGGTCACCCCTTTGCCTGGCCTTGCTGGATTAGGCTCAAAAGCCTCTTCCAGCCAAGCACACAGGCAGAGCCACACCCAGCTGCACAGAGAGACAGAGATCCGCTCTGGAAAGATTCAGCCTTAGGGGCTTGAGCCAATACTCTGGTGCCTACTCCCTTTAAGGGGTACAAACCCAAACATTTTATGACATTTGCCCTCTCCCTCAATGTGGAGGGAGATATGCACAACTTCTTGCCCCCTCAGTTAGAAATTGCATAAATTGGGTTTTATTATAAACAAGAAATACGTTAATTAACTACAAAAGGTGAATTTTAAGTGAATATAAGAGATAACAGACAGAACAAAGCAGATTACTGAGCAAATCAAACAAAGTACGCAAGGTAAGCTCAAAATACTTAAGAAAGGTTACAAAATGTAATTTCTTACCCTAAACATTATTTTAGGCAGGTTGCAAAGTTTCTGTGGTTTAGAGTTCCAGTTATATTTCTTTTCAGACTGGACCCCTGTCTCAGTCTGGACTCCTCCCTTGCCTTCCCTTCAGGTGGCTTTAGCAGTCTTTCTTCTTGGGCAGACAGGCCATGGAGAGGAGGAGGAGTCCCGTTTGCCTTCCTCCCCACCCTTAAATAGGATTTCCATAAGGCGGGAATCCTTTGTTTCCCAAACTTGACCCCCGTTCCCATCCAGTTACAAGAAGTCCCAGGTAATGTTTAGTATCAGGTGACAAGACCACCTGACTCTGTAGCATCCATGAGTCACAACATCCATGAGTCAGTGGCAGCATGGAGCATCCACACAACTTTTTCACAGTCCATTGTCATCACTGATGGGCCATCAGCCCTGTCTGTCTTTTCCAGTGTTGTACCTGAAGTGTTAGCAGTGGGCATCACCCAAAGTAGCATAGCTGAGATACAGATACATAGTCAATATTGCTAACTTCAGATACAGAAATGATACAGGCTGTCATAAATATAAAGGGAAGGGTAAACCTCTTTAAAATCCCTCCTGGCCAGAGGAAAAATCCTCTCACCTGTAAAGAGTTAAGAAGCTAAAGGTAATGTCGCTGGCACCTGACCAAAATGACCAATTAGGAGACAAGATACTTTCAAAAGCTGGGAGGAGGGAGAGAAACAAAGGGTCTGTGTCTGTCTGTATGCTGCTTTTGCCAGGGATAGAACAGGAATGGAGTCTTA